TGTTTTTTTTTTACATATAACAGAATTTATAATACATTTCAGTTCATGGTAATAACGGGACAAAATGTTTTTAAAAAAAAGTGGTAGTGGTATGTAAAGACATGCAAGGCACTGTGTCTGTTTGTGGTTTACATACAAAAAAAACTCTTACCTGCCCTGCTGCAGACACAGGGGCAACCAGCATTGTACCCAGCACCAGAGAAACTGACTGCATTGCTAAACAATAAAAACAAACAACAAACAAAACAGGCTGAAAAGAATTACTTCATAGCATAGATACAATAGCCCATGTACAGCAAACACAGAGATCTGATCTATCTGATCTGTCCTACAGAGGGATTCAGATGGACAGAAAAGCAGCATGCAGAATTAAAATATAAGAAGGTTCCAACATGGAAGAAGTTCATCTGTGATCAGAACAAACAGCAAAGGTTCACAACACATTTATTTTTACCTTTTTAAGCGGGAGAGTATCCACCGTCTCCTGAAGTCACTTCCTCATATCTTATAGACTTGTGCTGTCGGACTTTGACCAGAGGCCATTTGCTAACATGAGAGCAGTTACAGAGTGACCACATTACACGATTATCACTATCATTAACACACACACAGCCTTTTTTTACAGCTGAGAAGGAATCATTTATACTAATACTTAACAACAAAAAATAGTTTATATAGGATGTCATTATTAGGATTTATACAATGGATTGTTACTTAAAACAGATTGACAAAAAAAGAAGTCGCCTTGTGGGATTTAAGCTCAAAGCATTATGGGATTTTGTTCCCAATATATCATCTAACTTCATCGGTTCAAGTTGTATGTGAAGTTTATCTTTGCAATGTAGATGTTGATGGCTCTGAAACTTTTACACATTTCATCTGAAACCTCAAACATCACCGTGCTTTATTCTGAATTAGTGTGATCCAGAATATTAAAGATGATCATTGAGAGGAAGGCTTAAAGTCGTAGGGAAGCTGCCGTTCCAACCGTTGGATTTTGAAATTTTTTAACTTTTGGGACAATATGATCTGATAAAAGTACATTTATATACGTGTTTAAGCCAGAATGATTTGACATTTAAATATGATTTCCCTACGACTTTAAAGGTCAAATCTACAACTTTAACATCAAAATAACCAATTTACATCTACAAAACATTCAGAGCTGTGGTTTTAGAACGTACAAACTCAGAGGGAGAGAATATAAATGCTTTCCAATACCTTTGGGATCTTTATTTGCAAATAAAACTGTTAGAAACTATTTATACTTTTCCTTCCACTGTACAGTTATGCAAAAACCATGTTGGTCTGTCGCAAAAATCTCAAGAAAACACATTAGAGTGTTTTAGATCTAGAAAATGTAAAGAATTACAAATAATTTTACCAAACGGCTTATATTGAGATACAGAACAAGTTATCAAAAAGAAAAATAAGTATTTTTTGAGTGAAATATTTGTGACGGTTGTGTGAAAGGAGTTTTCAGAGACGAATGTTGATTTCACTTCGCACAAAATCACAGCCAGAGATGCTGTCTGCGCCATCAGGGTCTGACAGGAAGCCGCTGCCAGTGGTTGCCGTGGGGATGCTGTGTTCGAGGGAAGTCAGTCTCTTCTTCAGTCGAAGCTGCGAAGAGTTAAACTCACTCTGCAGGCGCGCCAAGGATGTCTGAAAAGAAGTTTTTTCCCAGTTATTGTCAGGATTCCAGCATTTTCTATGGAGAGAAATTTGTTTCAATATTTGTTAAAGGAAATAACATGTTTCAAAAAACGAAACGAAAAAACTTTATAAAACTTTGAGAGGTTGAGAGTAATTTATAAAATGAGCAAAAGAGCAAAAGTTCAACCAATATTTTTACAATTCGCTATTTTTCTCTGTTTTAATTTTGTTCATTTTCTTTATAAATCTAATTTTTTTCCAAATATTTTTATGATTTCATTTTTTTCTGTTTCTTCAGGAGACCAAGTTTAACACATTGCACTCTTTTCAAATTCTATTTGACAGATTTCCCACTCTACGCTTCTGGTTGGTCAATGAACGGACCATCTGCTTGGCCTCGTAGAGAGGCTGTTGCTAATGACCAAGCAGAGCAAGCTACTTTCTACACAGAGAACCAAAAACAGATCAGAGGGGGGAATCTGTCAATGAGATTTGAAAAGAATGTAATGCATAAAAGTCGTAGGGAAGCAGCTGTTCCAACTGTAGCATTTCCGAATTGTCCTTAGTAGTGCACAACTTTACGCGAGTAAATAAAGTGAATGTGATTGGTCGATTATCAAGCGGGCGGGATTGTTGTGGTTGCAAGTAAGTTTGCAAACAAGTTTGGTTTTG